ACATAAAAACACTAAATCATCAGATTAAGAAGCAATTCAAATTTAAGTTAGCCAACTTTTTTAGTTAAGTGTTTTCATGTGATTATTCGCAAATAATGGTTTCTTGCTCCGATGATGTATATCACATGACGGACGAATTTTCTGCGCAGAGTCATCCCTATAGGATGGTGAACCCAAGTATCCTTCGCAAAATCCAAAAGTCACAATTCTAAGGCTACTCTTCTTCTGTATCCGATGATGCTAATTTAAGCATTATGTCTGGCTATGCCAGTATCAATCTAATAAGGGATTCTTCGGAATCCAGCTTCACTTCTTAATGGATTAGCATATTTGTTTTAAATTTACAACATGTTTAATCAATGCTTAACTTAAAAAACTTATTTTTATAATTATTAGAGCATATTAAACAGGTCTATATTAAATATATATTAATATTTATCTTATTTAGAACTTTACCTTTAAGGAAAAAGCTTTATTTTCAGGTTTATCAAAGATTGTCTTGGAAAAAACTTTAAGGAGTCTTTTGATGCTTTGTTCTCCCATCTCGCATCCAAAGAAGGAGAAAAGGTAACTTTATTCTTTTATAGTCTTATCTTTAAATCCTTAAGGAAAAAATACGCCTTGAAAAAAATTTTTTTTTGTAATGATAGTTCCTTCGATGGTCGTATCTGCTTAACTTAATATAAAACTTCTATACGCTCTTGATTTTTAGACTTTATAGGCTCTCGCTATATGATGAAACTTTGTCAGCATTCAAGAATCCGGAAAATTTTGCATAATTTACATTTTACCCATTTTTATGCATTACAATTATACATTATTTATCTAGTATTTTTATTTAAAATAATTTAGCCTGTGAATTTATGAGAGAAGCACTCTCTTTTTCTTATCAAAGCATTATATAGCTGGAATAATTTTCGAAATAATAAGTATGAGAGGATATTTTAGCAGGTCAAACCTGATCTTAACTTCTAGTAATCTGACTAAAACGTTTTACTTTCTGGCTCTGTATACAACTAATAAGTTAGCCTAATTAAGTCTATTCTTGCTTAGCCTTGATAAAGTTGCTCATCTTACTGCGTAGGCGATAGTGAGTCTAACTATACTTGATATAAATACATGGATATTTTAAATTGCGATTACGCTTTTAATATTGTTATTTCAATCGTATTAGTAAAACTTCATTTATAACATCTTGCTCGTGTGATATTATACAATGTTTATAAAGAGATATAAATTTTAGTTTATCTAAGACATTTGCAACAAATTCATCCTGATTTATAATTTGGCATATAATTCATCTAACGCTATTTCCTATTTTCCCGGACTAAAAAGCTATCAAAATTCTTTATTTTATTTTATCTTTTTACACATGAATGAGTTGGGATTAATCACATTTCCGGGTTAATCTATTATTTCAATTCTTTTAGATAACAGAGGAACACTTGCGCAGTCTTATGTTTGGTGACTACATGGATCCAGATGCCTTTGCGGAAGATAGGCGATATGAAGAAGTTAAGGATATCAATCGCCTCTATCCGATTGCTGAGCATTATCTAAACGACTTCAATTCATCAAATAAAAATAAAATGAATCTGGTCATTTTCAGGTGCTTTTAAAATAATTAATATTATCGTTAAATAACAAAAAAATAATTGAGAATTTTGGACAATGATTGATAAATTAATGATCAATCTTTTGTTTCATTTAATGAAGCTGACCTTTTATTTTTCAGATATGTATTAGAGCATTTGAGCCGAATATCTCGAATCCTCCGGTCTCCTGGAGGAAATGCTCTTTTAGTTGGTGTTGGTGGATCTGGACGGCAATCTCTCACCAGATTAGCGGCATCCATGGCCGGATACCACATTTTCCAGCCAGAAATATCTAAGAACTACGGGATGCCTGAATGGCGGGAAGACCTTAAGGTAGGGCTTGCATTTAAAACATGATTATAAATTATTATAGGAATAGATTATTAATACTGATCTTAAAAAGTATAACCTAAATAGGCCGATTTCACTTATGTTCTCTTCTAAAATTAGTTTTTCTCAAAATCTTCCATTATTTAGTGTAACTTTGTGATTAATATTTACAGTGCCTTATCCCTTACTATACAAGCAGTTTATTACAAAAAGCATTGAATCTTAAATACCGATAGGATTTTACCTTTAATAATGCACTATATCTAGCACTTTCATTAATTTTCGAGAATACAAGTAACTCAATTATATGAGATGTATTCACCCTATTTCGTTTAAGGTGATGCAGGACCGGGAGTAGAATTTTCCCACAATGATATGAATAGAGCTGACATTTCCATTGAATTTCACATAGCTTTGCTTTCCCAAAGGTTATTCTTATGCAGGATGGGCTGCAGTTTCGACCTCGCCTAGGTCTAATCAA